ACTGGGGGCTCCTGATTGGATGAGGAAAAGATTCAACAGTTTTATAGAAATATATCCTATTGTATCTACTCGCTGATGCAAAGCTATTGCACCACTGGAGATTTCACCTCACTCAATTAGAAGGAGGAGTTTTTTGGTGATCTCCCATTATACTTTAAACTCTCCCCCTCCTTCCCCCTTCAAATCTGCTACAAAACTGCACGGTAGGATAGTGGGAATTGGAAATATGTAAACAATTAGGCAAACCCCTTTTCCCCTGTGTTGTTCTGATAGAAGTTTCTGCTGACTCAAAAAGGGATTTCATCAGCAGTACTGTCTACCCTTTACTAACTCATGATGCTTTTCAAATGTATTAGTGTCTTATTAGATGCACATTTTGTTCAACATTTCCAAACACATACAGCTTACATATTTCTTAGTTTCTTTTAGTTGATTTTACAACAGGGTTCTCGTGTATTGATTGACTTCCAGGCATGACTGCACTGAATCTTATATTGGAAGTAAAATGATGCTGTCAGAAGGGAAAAGGCTCATATATCTGCTCTTCATATAATCATGAACCCATTTTTCTCCCAGTTGAGCAGATTGATGTGAATGCTACTAATCAGTCATTTAATAAAAGAAACTCAAATGGCAGCATAAAAAAACATTTACTCAAAACCAATCCTCCCCCTTAACTGCCAGAAAAGTTGTTTAAAAGATCATCCAGGAAGTGGTTCTTATTCAGTGTGTGGTTGTTTTTCAGGATGTAGAGATGTTAGAGCTACCTAACGTCCCTTGGATGCCACTTTTGAATGTGGCAAAATGCAGTGGATTTTCCTGATCACAATTAAGATGTTATCTTTTTCTTTTGTATGGATTAGTTGTACCACTTTACTGAGAAGTAATAATTAAGAATGTGGGAATAGTGTCTGTTCTGCTTTTTAAGTGTTTCTGGACTAAATTGAGTATTTTGGCAAACTTCAGAATTTCCTTCCTTGCTTCTCTCTTACAGTCCTCCAGCACTAACCAAGAATGCACAAAGATTGAAGTGCTAGGGGGATTACCCTGTCTGGTTTTTATTGGATTTTTTAAATATGATGGTATCTCCACATTTGCAGGTTTGACTATTTGTGAATTAAATTTAAAAATTCTTTAGAGATCTCTAGGTCCTTTAGTACAGTTGTATGGTCACAACCTCTGTCAGAAATTGACCACAGAGAGGAAGGACCTCCAGAATCCAAGGAAAGTGTTCTCTCGGGGTTATTTTTTTTTATTCATAGCTTTTTCCATCTCTGGTATAAATGGTATTTGCAAAGGTGTCATAGAACTGTGTGTGATTGAGAAATGGTAAGATAAGGGAAACTGGGGGAGCGGCAAACTGGAATCTCTTTTGTTTCCATGTGTTTCAAAGAAGATATTTTGACTTATTCCTTTAAAAGGTCAGTCATGTGCTAAGACTGGTGGCGCTGATTGTGGCCTTGTCTCTGTTAGGTGGGGCATTGCTGCATTATTGACTATGGGATGCCATCTTCTTGTAGTTACCGAATGTGAAGACCACCAAACCCCGCTTGTCATTTTGTCAGCATAATGAGCTTTTTAGAAATCTGGATTTTAAACTTTGGGCTGTAAACTGTTGTGCTACTTTCTAAATCTGACATTAGAAAGAACAGGGTAACATTAGAAGAAAAGAGGAACCTTGGCCATATTTTCATTTAGATTCCATGGTGCATTAAACTCAAGTAAATACGGGTATTTTTTTTTATACAGTATGTTCCAGTCCTTCATGTAGATATGCAAAATTATGAATTGTAGTGAATCCTTCTGAAATGTAGCACTTCTGGCCTAAAATGACATAGAGTTACACAGAAGGACCTAGAAAACACCTAGAAAGGACATGTTTTGTCTTTTTTTGTTTTGTTAAAACTGTTTATTTTGATTATGGTCATAACAGAAAAGAAAAGCAAAGCAAATCATGGCAGATATAATCAGGTACCAATATTTTTGAAGTGTACATGCCTATCTACCTTATTCAGTCAGTTAGTTTTGTCATTAAGTACAAATTATTATCATTTACATATCTTAATACACATAGACTTGCTATTTCTGCCTGTTTTCCACTGCTTTCCGTCAGAGCTTTGTATTAAATTTTTTCCATAACATTCACTAAATCATCACATGGCATTTTACACACATACCACAGACCTTGCACTCATCCCAAACCCCCTATCCTAAACAAAATAAACCCTCGTCCCCACACCCATGCACCCTTCACCATGACTTCCCACACCAAAACACTATGAAGCCTTTAAGCCTATTTATCTATCCTTATTCATGGTAAACCTAAATTCCCAATGGAGCTCCTCTATATTACTGACTCTCTATTCAGATATGCCATGGTCAACTTCCATTTTTCTAGAAAGTCCTCATTACTCTTATTCCTCCTGTTATAAGTTAGTCTGGCCATTCGCATATATTCTCGCATTCTTTCCCTCCAATCCTTTTTGGTTAGACCTTTTTCCCCTTTCCAATCTTTGGCTATGGTCAATCTTGCCGCTGCAAAGGTATATTGATATATTTCTTGGTCCTTTTGATTATTGTTTTCTCTCTGTAGATCTAACAGGACATGTTTTGTCTGATGCGGATAAATGAAACTGGATAGATGGGTCATAATATATGTTGGTTTAACTGCACTGTTATATGGATCCCTAAATATTTGAATAATTTAGGTGATGGTGCTGATAGAACTTAGACTGCAAATAATTGCTGATAATCAAATGCTTGTTCATTGAAAACTTCAGTCACAGATTGGTAGGACTGACAAAGAGTGTAAGATGAGCTTTCTTGCCAACTGCTCATGCTGTGCAAAGTTTGATGCAAAGAGAACATTAAAAATTGTTTTTCTTTCTGCTTGGCAGTTGTAACTGAGATGTACTTGGCCTTTTGTAGGAAATGGCTAAGGTTAATGGTAACGGCTTTTGCGAGGTGATGATGATGGTACTTACTTGAAATTAATGGATTGCAGCCATTAATTTTATGGTGTCTTTTGTCTTCGTGCAAGTCATTTTTTGCTTGTACAGTATGGCTGTGGTGGGGAAGAATATTTAAATGAATGGTGCAGTCAGCAAAAATCAAATGCCCTTATCATGTGGTTGGAAGTGCTTTCACCGAGGCAAAAGCTTAATTTGATAAAATAAGTTTTTGAGGCCATTTGACTGGTGAAAATACAATATCCCATGTTCCTCACTTATTAGAGGGAAAGAAATGAGTTGTGAGATCAATGTGAGCAAATGTCATGACATATACTGAGGAAAGGAGTTAATCCCGAACATTGGCAAGCTTTATCCTCTCTGAGTAGTTCAGTCTGAGTGGGCATTCTAGGGGAAGAGATCATTGCACACCAAATTGTGCATGTAAATAAAGTTTGGATAGCCTTTGTCCAGAATATGTCAACATATTACAGAATAAGCTTATACTTAAAATAAAACCTCAGATTTCTAAGCTCTAGAGCCAATTGTATCATTCAAAATAATTAAGAACTGGTTCTGGGTTCTGTCCAGCCTCCCCCCCCCCCCCCCCCCCCCCGCAAAATATGGATATGGTATATATTAACAAAAACATTGAGTTGTGGAATGATTTGTCATTGGATCAATGTATGCTGATATGCTTTTCTTGCAGCAGAGAGGAGGCATCACAACACTGCACTCTTTGAATGATCTTTCCTCCCTCCCTCTGGTGTTTTCTCTCACTGACCTTTCTCCATCCTCATCGGCCTTTCCTTTCCCAATGGGAATTGTATATGTGGTGGTGGGTGATCCCAGTTTCTCCTCTTCTTTAGTTTTTCCTGGTGGTTTGCGTAACTGGAACTGGCCAGGAAAGCTTTTTGGGATCCTGGTGTTGTTGCTGGAGAAGTCAACTGGGATTAAATCAAAGCATACAACAGTTGGAGGGCGAGGGTACAGCAAAAAAAAGTTTTAGTTTCCCGTTCCCACGACAAGGGGTTTGTTGAACCCCACAAAATTTAACAACTACTTGGGCAAGCCTGTGGTTGTTAAATTTTGCTGAGTGAATGACAGCACTTGCTTAGAGCTCCAAAAGAATCATGTGAGTTTCATCTACTTTCATTTTAACCAGGATTATTTTTTTAAAAGGTGGATTAGATCTATGTTTGCTTAGTATTTAAGAGCAACAGTATTTCGAATTAACAAGTACACAAACTGTTACAGCATGTTCCAAAGAAAGTACAAGAGAGGAACACTTACTCTGAAATGGGAAAGTGTGCTTTTTTGACGCCACAAAAATGAGATGACACATCTTTAGGTCAAATTTGTGTCTCTCAATTTCATAGGAGATTTGGAAGTGTATAGAGAGGACCTGTGAGTAATGTGAGTTTGATTCTTTCTACATCCTTTGAGTATTTTGAAGAATTTCTCAGTGGTGACCAACCATTGATTTTTATTATGCTAGCCACAATTTGTTTGGAAGCAACAATTTAGAACAGCAGAATCAACAGGATAAAATTTGATGGTGATGTTCTGCTGGCAGAACAACAGAATCCAGAGGAAGTGTGGTTTTTTTCTGCATATCCTCTCTTCATGCTGTGATTGATATATCTGCTTGGAAATGCCCTCAAAACAGGTTTTGGACATATAATAGGTTGAAGAGAGAAAAATTCAACTATGAACAGCAGGAGAATACTTAGTTTTTCCAGTAATTTGTCAGTTCATGCTGTATAAGTAACTGTGAACTTGATGGGGCTTACTTTTGAGTAGAGGTATGCAGGATTGTGCTAGTAATCTTTTAAATGTTTGGTACTTCGTTTTTAAAACTATGTTTAAAGATTGATCAGCAAATAAAATTTATATGATTCACTCCCCTAGGTTTCATTGTTCTCTAAATATTTTGTCTACATTTTAGTTAAAATTTATTTAGAATCAAAACATTAAAACGTGCTGAACCAGTGTTATTAAAATATTTGACATTTTTAGGTTTTTAATAGAAGGTATTTTATTTTCTTTCAGAATATCACAAGCATAATTTTGCTCAAGACGTAACTTTTGCTGTCTAGATCCTGTGTTGTGCCAAAGGTGAGTTTGTTTAGATTTATTTAAATTGACATTGATAGTCTCTCAGTTTTTCAGGTCTTCTGTGATTTGGGATGCCTTTGCTTGAAAAATTATGAATAATTCCAGGATGGTAGTATCCTCTGTCATGTAGCCTCTGTTCACTTTTGAAAATATGCATGAATAAGTTATATAATACAGTGGGTATTTATTTTTTAATACTGAGTTCCTGATGAAAATTGATTTCCCCTCCGTGTAGTTCATTGCCAAAGCTAACATTCAGTTAATTTAAGAAAAGAAAAATTGCTTAGAATATTTAATCTATTCTTTCTAAAATACAAAGTAGAGGTAAAATATATGGGACTTAATCCAGGACTGCCATTATTTGCGTTTTCGGTTTTGTTTTATGTAATTGTTGTTTTGGGCTTGGCCTCATGTAAGCCACACTGAGTCCCCATCGGGGAGATGGTGGCGGGGTACAAATAAAGTTTATTATTATTGTTATTACCTATAATGCACACATTTAAATCAATGGGACGTAAATTAGTTGCTTGTCACAGTGGAATGGAATGGAACTCTATTTTTTCAGGTTATTATTCAAAATAGACTAATACTTTAGTCCAGTGGTTCTCAAACTGTGCTCCTCCAGGTGTTTTGGACTTCAGCTCCCAGAAATCCCAGCCAGTTTATCAGCTGTTAAGAATTGTTAGAGCTGAAGTCCAAAACATCAGGAGAAGCACAGTTTTGAGAACCACTGCTTGAACCTGCTGTAGTATCGGTCATTCTGTATTATTGTAGACTTAGACCTTTTCTACACTGTCCTATATCCCATATCTGATCCCAGATTATTTGTTTATCTGAGATTATATGGCAGTGGAGACTCACATAATCCAGTTCAAAGCAGATAATGTGGGATCAGATCCTGGGATATAGTTTACATTCAGCCCATGGTAGCTGAAGATTTTTCCCCCCTCAGATTTAATCTCCAGTCAAAGATCTCTTTAAACAGAGCTCTGAGTCAAAATCCGTTCCATCACAGCAACTCATTCTGAAATATAAGTTGAATATCTTACCTGAAATGCTTGGGACCAGAAGTCAGGAAAGACTGAATAGTTTTATAATGTTGATTATTAAGAATCTGAATGATAATTTTAGTATAACTTCAGGTAACACACCTTCTACTGCATGTGTACAATGAAGCACCCCTGTGTTCCTTTTAATTTTGTTTTCAAAAGTCACGTTCTTAGCAAAACTGCCATTAATGGTAGCAAGCATTTAGAGGATAATATGGTTTCTTCTCTAATCATATGAGTAGCTGGCATGTATAGTGGTATGTTGCTTACCTTGCAGAATCAGAGCCAGCCAGAAACACATATTGATCCTGTAGGCTGAGTTTAAAATGTAGAGGTAGCCAGGGATGAGGTGCACATTTGCAGCAAAACTGGTTTGGGAGCCAAAGAAGAGGGGGGGGGGGGGGGGGGAGGTAGGGAAAGATAAACAGAACATCAAAATACAGCCAGCTATATTCCAGAGAGAATAGATTGTAAATCTGATTGTACAAAGCTAGCTTATGAGGCAGCCATATTTCTAACAGGAAAAAGCAATGGGAGCTGCCTTACTTCGACCAGTAAATATCCTCTGATCTGAGAAGTCAGAGGAAGAGAATGGAAACCAATAATAAGCAATTAGTACTACAATCCAAGGGCATTTTCCAGGGTTTTAAAAAAAACCTTTACACCTATGGTGTGGAATTATTCTTTTTTATCATGCTAAATATCTACTGTGTAAAGAAAAAACAAAAAATGACTAGCGGGATTTGGGAAAACACATGGCTAGTTTAATATCTCCATGTTGAAAAGACACTAAATTCTGATCATCTGAACCTATCTCGAATAAAATCCTCCTGGTAAGATTGTGGAAGGTGTTTTTTTTTTGTCTACTGAGAGTGTATCTTAAATACATGTATCAAAGAATGCTGATATATAGCTATACAAGATACTAAGCCAGATACTATCTACACAATTTACCTGTAATCTGCTGAAGAATTATATGTGCAACATACATTAATTTTGTCTCATTTTAAGCCAAAAGTTCATTTTATCTCATGAATAAATTGATAGTCAGATAAACTTCTCATTATGATAGTGTATAATCCAAACAAAAAATACATTGCATAACTATCTAAAGAATAAATTATGTTGCTGCGTGCGTTCAGATTGTTTCCAGTCTTTTCGCAGTCAAAATTGAGCCTATCACAGGGTTTTCTTGGCAAGATTTGGGGTTTTTTGGGGGGGGGGGGGGGGTTCATTCCTTTGAGTGATTTTTCCAAGGGCACCCGGTTAGTTTCCATGGTTGAGAGGAGATTTCAACCCTGGTCTGTAGAGTCCCAGTCAAATGCTCAGACCACTACACATATCTACACTATCAATGTATAGATGAATTGTTCAGAATTCAGAGGGTGGCATCATTACTAATCCTATTAATTAACCATCAGTGACAATATAAAAATTTCACACTTCCAAAAATCATATAATTTTTAAAACTTGGCATATTGTAGTAATCTCATATAATTCATGGCAGTTTCATTTTTGCTTCAAATGGTTAGAGACTTTCTGCCAAGGACCAATAGTGGGTGCAAATAATGGATAAGTAGCCAAGCCACCTCAGATATAACAGTGCTTCAGTATTGGCTTGTTGGTAGTATTGCTTTCTCACAGCTAGAATCAGTCTGTTTCATTATAAAAGAAGTCTGCTTTCTTGTCCACAAGCAAATCATTCTGTTCTGGGGGGAAATAGTTTTTCTTCTAATATCAACCAGTTTCCAAACTTTAGGAAGATAGTGGCAATCCGAGAGGTAGGCCACTTTTTCTGAGATTGTAGCCATCGACAGAAATATTTGTCTCTTATTGGTGGTGGTACTTGGCAGTGGCCAGTGTTTTATGTTACCTGACAAAAAGGCAGGCAGTGGTGGGCAGTTAAGTATTTAAATCCAAGGCCATATGTACCACACTAGAGCCAAAGTATATGACAAGCCATTAATGTCTATGTCTTAGAATGATATTTGGCTTGTTTTCCAGCTGTTCTTGAATTTACTTACTTAGGCGATCCCTCGTTGCCTGATGATTTATTTTTATTTATTTTTAATTTTTTGTCGTGTCAGGAGCGACTTGAGAAACTGCAAGTCGCTTCTGGTGTGAGAGAATTGGCCGTCTGCAAGGACATTGCCCAGGGGACGCCCGGATGATTTATGTTTTTATCATCCTTGTGGGAGGCTTCTCTCATGTCTGAGGATGATGGTCCTTCAAGATCGGTAAACTGGCGGTGGCTCCGTAGGTGACTTTGGAGTCCTATTCTTGATCTGCATCTCCTCCCGCAGTGAGGGTATCGGTTTCCAGGTGGAAGGCAGTCCCGGTCGAGGTTAGCTTGACACACCTTCCTCTTGGCATGTTTCTTTCTTTCGCTCTTGGCATGTTTCTTTCTTTCTTTCATTCGTGCCTCTTCCAATTCTATAGCACTGCTGGTCACAGCTGACCTCCAACTGAAGCGCTCAAGGGCCAGGGCTTCCCAGTTCTCAGTGTCTATGCCAGAGTTTTTAAGGTTGGCTTTGAGCCCATCTTTAAATCTCTTTTCCTGTCCACCAACATTCTGTTTTCCGTTCTTGAGTTCGGAATAGAGCAACCGCTTTGGGAGATGGTGGTTGGGTATCCAGACAACGTGGCCGGTCCAGCGGAGTTGATAGTGGAGGACCATTGCTTCAATGCTGGTGGTCTTTGTTTCTTCCAGCAAGCTGACATTTGTCCGCTTGTTTTCCCAAGAGATTTGCAGGATTTTTCAGAGGCAGCACTGATGGAATCGTTCCAAGAGTTGCATGTGATGTCTGTAGACAGTCCACGTCTCGCAGGCGTATAGCAGAATTGGGTGGACAATAGCTTTATAAACAAGCACCTTGGTATCCCTACGGATGTCCCGGTCCTCAAACACTCTGCTTCATTTGGAAACATTTATCAAATACATCATTATGAAGCTTTAAAACCTGGTGTTGTCCTCTAGATCCATGCTTGTTAAACTTTTCCACTCAGGACCCTGTTTTGCTTTGGAAATGTTTACATGACCCCAGATATATAGAAATATTAAATAGGTATTAAAATCAGTCATTTACTGCTAACAAATCAGCATTTATAAGACTTGCCAAATAGGCTGATTTTTCTTTTTATGAAGTATTGTTGAAGCATCTTCTGCAGAGTCCACTGTAAACACTGCAGAACAGATTTGTATAAATGTCTAAAACAACCACCAGATCTTGTTCAGAAAGCTTTTACTGTTGCCACATTTTTCAAGATCCCAACATTGAGCTCAAGAGACCCCATTTGGGGTAGGGAACCACAGTTTAAAAAGCCCTGTTCTAGGTCACTGCTTCTTAAACTGGGTCATGACCCCAAATGAGGTCTCCTTAGCTCAATTTTGGGGTTATGAAATATTTGGCAACAAAAATGTTTCCAAATGCCACCTAGACATTTATGCGAATCTGTTAGCAACAATGAGCAGTCCTTACAATGGACTCTGCAGAAATTGCTTCAGCTGCAAGTTGCAGAGTAACAATACAGAACTCCAAACTCGAGAAAACACCCATGGCTTTATGTTGTAACTTGTGACTGTGTTTTCTCCAGTTTGATATCCTGTTTTTTTTTTTTTGTTTTTTTTGTTTTTTGTTTTTTTTTGTCTAAATTTGCTGACAGCTAGAGTCACACGATGCACAGCTGGATTCACACCAGAAGTACTGTGTCCAACTATTAATGTGGGTCAGTTGAACATGGCATTTTCTCTGGAGCTCCAGAGTGATCCTAGATTTTTGCAGTTAGCGTTTACCTGGGGAAAAGGTCCATTTAGCTCTGGGATAATACACCTTGACATTCTGGAAGGTCGTGTTATTCAACACATGGCTCTGCATGGCTGCACATTGCTATGTCCATTGGCTTGAATAATGGAAAAAAGTTTCACTCTACCAAAAATGGCTAGTGAAGGGG